TGATACCTGATCCTATCGACACCTCATGATCACACAGGCTGGTGTGCTTCTCCCATGTGGACTTTGTTGCTTCTCAGTTAGATGGCTGTTTGTTTATATTCAAGTCTTTAAGACACCAGATGCTATATCTTTTCATAGCTAGGCACCATCAGCTTTCCTCCCCACATTTGCTTATGCACCCATTTGTCTTCAGTGATTGTGTTAGGAAGGTAAGCATCTAAAAATACTGGATTATTTGAGCAAAGTGTTCTTATGTTGAGGGAGTACTTGAGTAGAGGCCCAATGTCCATCTGCATCCTTAATACTAAACTATAAACATATGCACATAGATCTATTTCCCCATTACCATGTATAAATATATTCACATATGCACATGCATTGTATTTAGACCTCTATAAATGCCCTTTGCCTCCTACTTCTTTCCTCTATTTCCTTTTACTTTCCTCTTGTCCCTTTATCATGTTCAGCCTTCATTTGGATTTCAATAATTCCCCTTGGCTACATTGCCCTTGATCAAGCCCCACCAGGTCTCCTACATCCTCCTCGCCATTGATTTTAAGTCACTTGTTGTTCCCTTGTCCCTGGGTTTATTAACACCCACTTCCTTTCCCTTCCTCCCCGCTAACCCACATCTCCCCGGAACCGTCAGTCTTGTTGTTTTCTCCTCTGGATTGTTGATCCCACCTATCTTATCTAGATAGACATTCAGAGACAATAATATGCACAAAAACAAGACAGAGCAAAACAAAGCAACAAAAGAAAATACCATATATACTCAAGTATAAGCTGACCTGAATATCAGCCAAGGCACCTAATTTTACCACAAAAACGGCATTAAAAATGTGCTGCAAGACTTGGCTTATACATGAGTATATATGGTAAAACAATAAGAACAACAGCAAAAAGTAAAGCCTATAAATAGTTCAAGGTCTGTTTGTTGACATTTAGGAGTGTTTTCCAGTCGAGTCTGCTGGTGTGCCATGCCCTGGCCCCAAAGTCTAGTTTTGGTATTCCCTGGAGACTTCATTGCTCTGTTCCCCTTGCTGTTCTGTTGCATGCCCTTAGTGTTTCGCCTCAATGTGGTGGGGTCAGATCGGCCTCAAATCCTGCACTGTGTCTCCAGTGTTGTCCCACATAGTGCTATGGGTCATGGAGAGACATCGTGTCTCCTGGTTGGGCTGGCCCTCTGGTCTTCTCTGTGCATTGGTTGCTCTGAGCAGGAATATCGTCCTCGGGGCTTGGTGGGCCAGGCTGTGCTCAACTTTCTTTTCCTCCTCCTTCATTTGCTCCTCTGTGCTCTGATCAGACATGTCCCTCTCCCCGAGCTGTAGCTTCAGTGCTGTCCTCTGAATTGAATTCTTCTGCGGGGAAGGGAAACTGTCTACGTAGTTGGGATTGGAGCCAGCCCCTCAGACCTCTCTATTGGTTCCCTGCTTCATACTAATGTGTTGCATTCTTGTCTTGGAGCACTGGGTTGAAGTCTGGTCCCTCTTTCCCTGTGGAGATACAAATAACACCCTCCCCTTGGGTGGGTTAGTGCCCTGTTCCCCCAGCTACCTATGCCTTCCCCCCCCCTCTCCTTTTTAGTTGGCTACCATATGTATCCCTGGGTTTAGTGTGGCCCCTTCCATATTACCTGTACCTCACTCCAGAAATATGTGTATACAGTAGCTTTTTCCCTATGCTCCTTTTGCATTTTTAAGCTTACCTCAGCGGACTCATGTTGTACTTGTCCTTTTGTGCTTGGCTTACTTCTCTTAGCATAATTTCATCCAGTTCTTCCCATGTGGTGATGTGCTTCATGCGTTCATCACTACTTTTTAGCGATGCATAATTCTCCATTGCATGTATGTACCACAGTTTTTTAATTCATTCTTCTGTTGGAAATTTGGGTTGTTTCCAACTCCTTGCAATTGTGAACTACACTGCAATGAACATTGGAGCACAGATGTCTGGCCATGGTTTGTTTCTTGTCTTTTCTGGGTATATGCCCAGTACGGGGATTGCTGGGGTTATATGGTAGCTCAATTACCATCTGTTTTAGATATCGCCAAATCGATTTCCATAATGGTTGTACATACCTATAGGTCCACCACCAATAGATGAGAGTTCCTATCTCTCCACAGCCCCTCCAACACTTGTTACTTTCTGATTTTTTGAATTGGGCTATCTTTGAGGGTGTCAGGTGGTATCTCATTGTTGTTTTAATTTGCATTTCTCTTATGGCTATACTTAGATTCTTGTAATTGGTTCAGCATTAATTTTTTTCCATAGTTTTCTTATTTTCCCTCTCCTGAATCTCAGCCTTGAACTTTATTATTTCTTTTCTTTTGCTAGGATTGTCTTATTGACTCTGGTCTAGATATTGTAAATTTTGTGCCAGCATATCAATCATAAGTCTCTCTTCCTTTTTCATGTGTGCATGTATTGCTATGAAACTCATCTGATAATTGCCTTTGCTGTGTCCCATAAGTTTTGGTACATCGTGTTCTCATTATCACTGATTTCTATAAATGTCCCAATTTCCACTCTGATCTGCGCCAGTACACACTCTTCTTTCAATAGAGAGTTATTCATCCGCC